AGGTAGATATATTTCAGGCTATTTTTCTAAATCATTTAATCTCAATGTAATGTAAGATTCTGATTTTACTTCTTGTAAATCTCTATCATTTTCTAAATTTAGAGTTTTATTACTTAACATGACAACCTTATTTTAATCAACGTTTTAAACATTATATTCTGATTGATCTGCTAAATGATTCATCTTTTCACTTTATTGATTTGGAAAATGAGAGGATAATAAATTCTTTTATTATAAGTCTTCTATTTGAAACTATACAATAGTTCCTTTATTTTTCTTAGAACTAATAGTTAATTTATTATCTTTAGATTCAGTCAAACCTTCTATCAATTTTGCTGCTATAATTAAGCCTAAGCCTGGTTATTTTATTTTTGAATGAGATTTCAATACAGCTCCAAATTCTATTGTATTTTGTAAACAATTCTAAATTTTATTTAGTTTTTGTTCATCTATTCCAATACCATTATCTTTGACTGAAAACTTAATATATTATTAACCATCTTCAATTATATTTAAATAAATGCTACCTCCTTCAGAAGTAAATTTGATTGCATTATTTAATAGATTTACTAATAGCTATATTATTCTCTGTTTATCATTACGAAAAATCCTTCCTAATAAATAATCTGAGACTTTGATTGTGAAATTGATATTTTTTTATTAAGTTTATATTTTATATAAGTCTTCAATTTCCTGTGTAATTTAATTGATGTTAAAATTAGTGATATTATAATTGAAGGAAAATGATTGGAGAGCAGCATAATCTAAAATGTCATTAATTTGATGGATTAATAAGGTTATTGAACATTATGCTATATCAATATAATCTGAAGAAGCTTTTGAATTTGATTAATATTTCAAAAGATTTAACATTTGATAACAACTATTCAACGGAGTTCGTAATTCATGTGAAAATGATTTAATTAAACTATGATGAATAATTTATTCATCTCTCATTAATTGACATTTGTATTTATTTGTAACATTCTTTATTATTATAAGCATAACTGGATGTTCTTAATCACTCTAATGACTTGAAATGTGACTTTTAACTGAAGCCTTAATTTATGATGAAGCTGAAATGTATTCTTACTATTAATTAGTCATTGATGTAGGCATAATTATCAATTTCAATTTCTTCTCATAATTTTATGATGTTTACTCAGACTTAATTAGCCATTCGTAAATGAATACCTATTAATGAAATGATTATTAAAAATCTTTGTAAAATTATATTTCATTTTGTCCTAAAATTCCAAAATATTTTTATGGCTAAAGTATGATATCCAAAACATCAAATGAAGTGTTATTTAATTATAACTTTCTTATTATTTATTAGAGTAATTGATAATGGTGTTATTTCTTTTATTATTTATTTGATGTTTCACTCGCATTTTCTTATATTTTTGCAGTATTTACACACATTTTCACTTTTTCTAACACTTGTTCAATACCTTAACATTCTAATATCTTCTCACATTTATTATTAATATAATTAATTGATTAATGTTAATTAATAATTAATATCCCATAAGGAAATATATTAATTAGATTTTAATATAATTAAAGCATTTAAAACTGAGAGTTACCTTAACTTAGAATATTTTTTTAAGATTTTGAAAAGCTTGTCAAGTTTGAATATCGTTTTAATTTGAATTCATCTGGAAGATCTTTTAATTATATAGTAAAACATTTCTTAGGGGATTAAACAAGAGTCATTTTACTTTATGATCTTATTAAGGATTTGAAATAATTTTAAACAGGTGGGGGTGTTTCTTTGTCATTTTATAAATTTTATAATATTTATCCCTATTTAAAAGGCTTAAGATAAAAATTTTATGTGAATTTTTCATATTTTCCAAATTTCTTATAGTTTGTTAGTACTTAATGAGCTAAAACAATGATGATAAGTATCAAACACTCAAGTGTTTAATAATTTAAAGTACTAATAACCATCCATATTGTTCTAATAAATAGATATGTAGGGAGTCCTATTCTACAAATTAGACTTGATTTCTGTACTGTTTTCCTTAAGTAATAGTTGTAGGTGATAATCATTAATCCGCAATCTGTAAATATGTATAGTGTTTAAGTGTAATTCAAAATCAATAACGATTCTATATAAATTACATAATATAAAAGAGAAACTACATGTAAAAATAAATTATATCCCAAGCCTTTTTGAATTAGGTAAAATTAGCATATTCTTGTCAATATGCAGAGGATCTATAAGATAAATAGCTCATAATTTATGGGAGATATTAGATTTGTAGCCAAAAATATCCACCAAGAGCACTAAGTTATATTAGCAACAAAGATTAAAATCATTGAAATCTTCTTTAAGAATTTCTAATGTTACACTTTCATGTTCTTTATTTAAATATTGTCTAAATAAAATTAAAGATAAAAGAGAAGGTTCTAGTAATAATTAACTATATCTGAAGAATCTTAATAATCTATATAAAAAAAATTAAAATCATTTAGAGTATGATGAATATAATATTGCAGAACATTATTAAGTTAATGTGAATTATCCTTCATTTAATTAAGATATCGTGATTGTTCTAATGTTCTCATTACTTTGTTAAATATTGTAGTATATTTGATTTTTATAGTGAATAGGATACATTATAGAGTCCTTTGTTTAAAATTGAACAGAACAATATACAAAATTTAGTCTTTAAAAATTAGCCATTTGGATCTATTACTTTAGTGAATTTATATTTATTCATTAATAAAATAAAACAACACAAAATAAATATTAATTAACAAATATAAATTCAAATATGTGATACAATTCTTATTAAGTGTTGAAATTAGACTTTCAATCTATTTATAATATAAATCAAGAGGTTATATTAAGTATGTAGATCTAAAACATATTGAACAATTATACTATTGATCCAAAATAACTTGAATGTTAAAAAGGTGCCTAATTTATATTTGATTGATATTTGGTTACTTATGAACTTTTGAATTAAAACAACCATTCACAATATTTATCAACCTTCTTTGAGATAAATTAAACTATCTCCTCAATTTGAGCTTCTAAACAATATATTTTCACTTATTTAGAATATTTGAAAAATAATATTAATTTGATTTTTTATTAGTATTAATTATCTTAAATACTAAACTCGTACTAGAAAGATAAAGAAAGGATTATCCTAAAGTTGAGGATACTTCAATATTTTTTGTAGGTGTTAACTAAGGAAAAGAAAAGGAAACTATTTATAAATGAAACGATGAAATTAAAAAAATTAATTAAAGAGCATAATAAAAGTAGGAGTAAATTGAGGTAGTCAAAAAGAAGGATTTTTATTTTTTAAATTATATCAATTGTCTATTTATTATACAATTTGATTTCAACTCTTAATCAAATGTTATTTTCATTAAGTAAGATCGATAGAGAAAAAAGAAGCAAGACTAATAATATATGAATAATTTAATTTTTTAGAATTTGCTGTCAATTAGGAAACTTTCGTTATTTTTATTGCTATGAAAGTATAAAATCAAACTAAATAATTATAGTTATCACAAAAGTAATATTGCTTAAAAGAATATTTGAAGTAATCCATGCGGTGTTTCAAAACAATTAATTTATTAATTTGAGAATTAGTTATTTTGAAATATTATTCTAAATGGTTAAAAGATTTTAAATTGGAATTGACAATTTGAATGATTCATTAAATAAAAGTAGAGTAGTGTAGATAAAAAAAAAAAAGCTCTTTTTTAAATTAATTTACAATAATCTCATTCACTTTCCCTTATCATAGTAAAGTTTTAAAATTAAAAATGATAATACATAATTAATTTAATAAAAATAATATATTGAATCCTAAATAATATTGTAAAATTGTAGTTTTAAATCAGTCTATATTTTTATTTCTCTATACTGCTCTATACATAATATTAATTACCTAAAAAAGTTTAGTGCAAATTGAATATTTGTTTGTTGAATCAAATAATAAAATTGTATTCCAATAATTTCCAGAAAATCTTTTTCTCTGTTATTCTTGAACAAGTTCCATTTAGAGTATTTGTGAATATATAGATTATTTACTGGTAACAATTTAAGAGTAAATAAATTGTAATTTTTTATAATTTGTCTACTTCTAAAGAAATTAGATAGGTGAATAGTTTAATATCATAAAAGGAGACTTGAGAGTAATGAATTGGATTTTCGTAGTTAATTCAACTATTCACAATCTTTTTTATCAAAATTTTTGAATCAACTGTAATCATCAATAAATTTAAGAATATTGTTTTAACAAACTAAATATCATGTAAAATCTATGTATATAAATTTAAATTATAATTTTTATTATATTAATTCTTTCTATAAATATTTTGATTATTTTGGTAGAATTAGAAAAAATCGATTTTTATAAAATCTCTCTATTATTATTATAGATTTAAATTGTAAGTTAATGAAGAACTATGCTTGCTGTGTTTAAGAATTTAATCCTTATAATTCTCAATAAATTGAATTTCATAATAGAATTTTATATAAACAATTATGCGGTTACTTTTGAGCGCAGATTAATTCTTTTAATCTATTTCACTCGATAATAACCCAATTTTTATAAATCATCATACTAGTAAATTATAATTTAGAGTATTCTAATTTAAATATAATAAATATTATACACAAAGAACCTTCATCATAAAATTCTCTTAATTTATAATTTTTCCAAAGTATAATTTACTTGTAATAATTCATATAGGATTAATTATGATAAGAAAAAAATCATATATATATAATAATAGTTTCTTTAATTTAAATTAATTTTATTCAATTTGAACTATGATGCATATTAAAAAAGTTAGAAAAAGTAATGTATGAATAAATGTTGTCTAAACATATATATTTCTATTTATCATGAGTACTAAAAATTGATAAATTTGAATATGTAAATTGATTAGAGAAATATTTATAGAAATAATTTAAAATTTAATTTTATATAATATATTTTCATTATAATTTTTAATAGAAATAGATGGATATCCAAAAAATAATCAGTGATACAATTATGGAAACTCCTAAGGATGAGATTTTGAAATAGTTTAATGAAAGAAATATCTAAGTTGCTACAATTATAAAAGAGAAACTTTTGAAATGGAATAGTTCACAATTAATAAATTTTGAAATAAATACTTTAGAAATATGTTTTGGAGTTTTCTTTTAACAAATTATAAAATAATCTTAGAATCAATAAATCAGAAATCAGTTTGGAATATTTATGAATTAAAATTAATAGCTAAAAGATATCAATCAATAGAAATACATTGAACTTTGTCGGAAAGTTTTTAATAAATCTTTGATAAGCCTTTCTCCTCTAAACTTAGACTTTAAAACTATAGATGACTAGTTATAAGAAAGTTTTATTGGTGAAATCTATATATCTGGAAAATAATCTTAATATTATCAAAGTGATAAATTTTCCAAAAAGGAACCCATAAAATATTATATATTTTTATTTCAAAGTTTATAGGTTAATGGGACGAAACTACATCTGATATTTTCAACTAATAAAGATCCTCAATTCCCTTAATAGTAGTTCTAATAATAAAATTAATTACCATTTCAATAATAATTTAATTAAAATATATAAGGGAATATTTTTCCTAAAAAATTTTAGTAACCATAGAATCAAGGATTGAATCAAGGATAGAATCAAGGATAAAATCAAATTTAATTAGCAAGGCTTCTTTCATTTCCTATTTAATAACCAAATAATAGTCAATTTAATATAAGAAGTACTTAACTTAATAATAATGAGTAATAAAATAAAAATTAAAATCAACCAACGTTTAATAATGTCAATAATTAACAATTTCAAAATATCAATTAATAGTTCCAACCACTTAATTAGAATAATATTATTAATAATAATGAGTAATAACAAAAAAATTCAAATCAACCAACGTTTAATAATTTCAATAATTAACAATTTCAAAATATCAATTAATAATTCCAACAACCTAATTAGAATAATATTATTAATAATAAACAAAACAATAATATTTTTAAGAATAATGCTTAGAATTGTTAAATATAAAATTATCCTTAAAATTAATCTATTATTATGAATAATAACAATGGAAATCAATTTAATTTTAATAACAATAATAATTAATTTTAATAAAAACCTAATAATAATATTGGTAATAATTATTAAAATAATGAGATTAAAAATAATGTGCCTACTAATTTATTCAATAATAATCATTAGTTTAATAATCCTTAACTTTAATTTTAAAATAATGCTTAGAATAATATAATATAACCGTCACCTATAACTGTTTAACAACCAAATTTTGCTGCTAATCCTATTTTGCCATAAATTTGTAATGAACCTAATATATTTTCTACTGTACAAATGAATACAAAATAAGAAGATGAATAATAAGAGAAAAAAGTAAATGATTTTAGTAGATTACAAACAAAGATTAATACAAAGATTGAAGATAATTCTACAGAATGTGATATATGCTATGAAAAATATTATTTAAATCCTGATGAAGTAATTATAACTCCATGCTGCAAGAAAAAGGTTCACTTGTAATGTACATAAGATAATTTAAATAATAAAGCAAAGGAAAACATGAATTTTAAAAAAATTGTTTGTCATGTTTGTGAACAATCCCTTAAATAATACTAAGATTATCTAAAAAGTAATATTTCTATTGGATTATATGTCAAAATAATAAAGTGTGAGATTACAGCAAATATTCCCTCAATATGCTGTAAATGTTCCTCACCAATATAAGCAAGTTTAGAAAGCAAATAGGTAGAAATAGAATGTTTAAAATGTAATACAAAACTTTGTAGTCTTTGTTATTAAGAATATCATGGTGAAATCTAAACAGTATAATTAAAATTTAAATTAGAATTAAAAATGTCCAAGTCTGTTAACAGAGATTCAGAAGGCTATTGCAGATATGCCAATTCTTGTTTGTCCATTTTGTAATTTAATGCAAACAAAAGATGATAAATGTAATCACGTGACTTGCTATGGTTGCAAGATAGATCTTTGTTCAGCATGTTCTGTTGAAAGATTTCCAATATTGCAACATGGCAATCATTACCACAGAGTGGGTTGTCCTGACTATGCACCATTGATCAATAATGGAAAAGTAGTAACAGAACCAGAATTTTTGAGAAGAAAATGTAAAAGATGTTTAGAGACTAATTAACCATGCCAATATCCAATAAGTTTGGAAGAATACAAAAAAGAAAAACAGTTTTGATATTTTCAATATTATATCAACAATTTCAATTTTATCTGATACTTAATTATTCAAACTCTCCTTATAGATGAGTTTTAAATAATTAGCTGTTTTTATGTGTTTTGAAAATATAAAGATTATTATTAACAATCATTTATTTTCAACTTCTTAATTCAAATCATATTTCAATTCTTGTTTAATTTAAACATATAAGTAAATAAATATATATATAGAATGTTAATTAATGATAATTATATCGATTTTCCTTATAAGACTATATTTCTTATTAGCCATTAAATAAAGTAATATTAGATTGCGTTACTATAATAGATACATAAAATCACTATACCAAATAAAAAAAACTAAAATGAGAAGAGTAATAAAGAAATTTTGTGATTGATAAAAATAAAACAAGTCTTAGATAATAATTCTATCTGAAGATAATAAATTGAAAATTATTTGATAAATTCCTTAAAATACTATTACTAATATCACTGTACTAGTGATAAAGTTATTATGTTCATCAACCATTTTGATAATTTATAAACCTAAGAAAATAATTTTAGAACTTTTACAAATTAAAAAAGTAAAAAATTTATTAAATGATCTAGTCCACTTAAATTAATTCATAATTTATAAATAAAGTGATTTAAATTTAAGGAATCATAAAGCTTTCTTATTGTAATTTAATAATTCATTTATAATTTAAAATATTTATATTAATAATGTTCATGAATAATTAAATTAGATTTTTGTTCTATTTAGTTGAAGTAATCTTAATAGAACATTAGAAAAGGTATCTAGAATAAGAGGATATCAAACATAATTATAAGACATTATTATTTCAATATTTGCTATTCTCAAAGCCTATAATTAAAGTAGAATAATTAAAAGCATTATTATTGAAATCATAATTAAATTATTTAATAGATGATAATATTATTTACATTTTTCGGACTCCTTTATACAGTTCTCACTAAGTTATTAGTATATGAAAAAAAATTTAATTATATATTATCAGGTATTTGCATTATTAATAGAAGATTGGATTGATAATAATGGAAATGCTAACATGAAGGTTGATGTTTCTGGTGTACCATTTAATCCAGAATAGCCTAATTTAGGTCTGAACATAATAATATAAAGATATTTTACATTTCCACCTCACAATTAGCTTTTTATTGATTTTACTATTATTCTAACTAATTCTTTTGATTTAGTTGTGTAGACAGATAATAAGAAATATTACTAGTTTGCATAATTCGGAGCATTGAATACCGAGATATCTGTTAAGTTTAGCTTTATTCATTTGAATGATATGGATATCATAACAATTCTGGCGGAACAAAATGCTTCACAGCCAAACTCTTTTGAATGGGGACTAAAAGAAATATAAATATATGTTGAAGAATGCCCAGCCACTTGTAAATATTGTCCAGATATTTATGGAATCGATACATGTGCTCAAATTTAACCACTTTTTCCGCATACAGGAACTAAATTCGATGAAACTAATAATTGGAAAATCTCATAAACTTCATCAGGAAATATGTAACTCTATTTATCTCAATGTATAAAATTTATTATAATAGAATATCCATTATATTACAAATATTTTAATCCTACAACTACAATAACATCATAAAGAACTGTTGACATCCCAAGTAACACTGGAACAATTATATAATTCAGAATTTTCTTCTATTAATATAAGCCTAATTCTATTAAGATAATTATAAATAACTAGTCTTATTTCTAAAATATTAATTAAGTCATGAAATTTCTGATAGGTTCATATAATAATCCAACATAAAATATAAATTTCGATAATAATTATTATCATTATATCTATTACATATCAATAAGTAATTATGACTACAATATTTAAATTAAAAATATCTAGGTAGAAGTTTAATTTCCAGGTTCAAATAATTTGTATTTTAGTATTTAAGGATTTAATATTTATTATAAGAAATTAGAATCCTATTGGTTAGAATAAATTCAAGGTTGTTTTACAATGTTATTTAATAAATGTGTAGAATGTCAAGAAGGTTGGTATTTTAGAAGTGATGAATAAATATGTGTACCTATATGTGGAGATATGATAATATAAGGTTAGGAAGATTGTGATGATGGTAATGATGAACCATCAGATGGTTGTTTTAATTGTAAATTTTAATGTGCTTCTAATTGTAAAGTATGTATATTTGGAGAGTGTTTGCAAAAGAAGGAATTAAAAACAGAAATAGTTAATATTGAGTGGGATTGTTAAAGAGTGGGTTACATTTCAAGGATAGGATATTATTATGATATATAATAAGATGATTGTTAACCTATATGTGGAGATGGAATAGTAACAATGGATGAGGATTGTGATGATTAAAATGATACTCCTTTTGATGGTTGTTTTAATTGTCAATTTTCTTGTCCAACTAATTGTTTGATTTGTGAATATGGTAAATGTATATATTGTAGAGTTGGATATGATTTACAAAGAGATAGATGTTAAACTATTTGTGGAGATTCTTATATATTAGAATAAGAAACTTGTGATGATGGTAATGATCTATAATTTGATGGATGTCATTACTGTGAGAATAGTTGTTAATTAGAATGTACAATTTGTTTAAATGCTTAATGTTATTAATGTATAGATGGTTGGACTCTAGAATAAGGGAGATGTGAATAAGTATGTGGAGATTTAAAAGTGGCATTATTCTCATATGAATAATGTGATGATCCATTAGATATTAATTGTGTTAATTGTCTTTATTAATGTACAGAAGATTGTTTCAAATGTGATGCTCCTCTTTCATGTAATCTTTGTTAGGCCAATTATTAATTAATAGATGGAAAATGCAAATCAGTCTGTGGGGATATGTTAGTTAATCCTCTTTATGAGGAATGTGATGATGGTAATGATATTCCATTTGATGGTTGTTAATATTGTTTATTATAATGTTCATATGGTTGTCTCATATGTGAAGAGAATAATGTTTGTAAAGAATGTGATTCAACAAATTATTTTTTGAACTCCACTAATTCCTTATGTCAAGAGATTCCCTTAGAAATTATTGAACAGGAAGAAGAAGAGGAGGAAGAAGAAATTAAGATTGAAGATGTATAATGTAATGATAATTTTATACTAATAAATAATTAATGTGAAAGTTTATGTGGTAATGGAATGTTGGCTAGTTTATATGAAGAATGTGATGATAATAATAAGAATAGTGGAGATGGTTGTTCATCATAATGTAAATTAGAAGAATCTTTTATTTGTTTAAATACAGAAGATTCATTTAGTATATGTTCATTCATTATCTTACCTGATTTCAAACTTAAATCTTTGAGTGATGTAAAGGATTAAACACAAATTATTGAATTATAATTCACTGAAAAAGTTAAAATGTTTTAAGATACTATTCTTGAAGACATATGCAAATTTACTATTACACCTTAAACTGAATATGAAATGAAAATCATTCCTATAACTAATTTAACTACTATGTTAAGTAATCCTAAATATTAATTTAAAATATTATTTTTACAACCTGTTTAAAATCCTATATTTTCTATTAGTATTGCTAAACAATAAATCTTTAATATTAATGAAATAGAATTAAAAATATTATAAAAAGATATTAGTTTGGGTAGTCCTTTTGTAATGTCAAAAGAAAGCAAAGAATTTGTCACTTCTGTTGTAAAAATGAATGATGCAATGATGTATACTACAATAGCTATATCTGGCTTTGCTTTATTAACAGGAACTCCTGCTATGTTATTTAATCTAATAGATTTACTATAATAACTTTCATATATTAGATTTATGTAATATAAATTTCCATCTCATTTACGTTAGTTTCTTGAAAGTTATACTAAGATTTCATTAAAACCTATATTTGATTACTTTTAATTTGATTAATTCTTAGCAAATCTAAATGATGGTTAATTGCCATTATAACCTAGAAAAACAATATCTTCAAATTAAGCAGACCCTTTAAATTCATTTTATATTATCAATGCAAAAAGTTGTTACTTTTCTTTGTTTGCTTCTTTCTTTTCCTATATATTATGCTTAACAATTTCAAAAACAAGTGCAATAAAATATTTTAATAAAATAATTAAAAATAAAGGAATGAAATTAAAGAATTTAACTAAAACCTTTTAATTATATCATAATTTATAAGTTGCATGTATTAAATTTAGAAATAAATATTTTTATTCTGGATTATTTTAAGTCTATTACACAATTATGCATTAATTTTTATTCAGTGCATTTTTATAATTTCCTTAATATAATTTTACATCATCTTTAGAGATATTTAATTCAGTAAATGCAATATTAGCGTTGGGTTTCATATTATTTATTAAATTTTAATAATTTAAAATTACTACAGGAACAATTAAGAATATAAATGATTGGAATTTCTTTTTTGATGGAATAAATAAGAGATTTTGGTGTTAAATATTCAAACCTATTTAAATGTTAAAAATAACAAGTTATATGTTTGCAATTGTATTTTTAATGGATTATCCAGAAGCATAATCCTTTATTTTATCAGCATAATCTAGTTTTTATGTTGTTTATTTGATAATATTTAAGCCAATTGATGTTGGTTTTGAATATATAAAATTAGTATCAAGAGAAGTTCTTTTCATTTCTACAATTTGTTCATTTTATGTATATAGTTATGAATTAGATGATGATAAAATGTTTTAATTAGGTTGGATGCATATTTCACTATTTACATCAATTTTAGGCTCTAATTTAATTCTTGATATAGGTAAATATATTAAATTAGCATATGATAATATCCAAATAAAAAAACTAAAGGTTGAGAGACGATTAAATTATTAATATTAAAATAATTAATTGCATTAATTTATAATGGTAGAATATGAATAGCATCCAAAAATAAAAAAATGATTATTTATAATGTTTAAATTAATTATATATATAATAATTTAAGTATTTAAAAATTCAAATAATAATTATTATTAATTTTATAATAATTATATAACTTAAGTTTATTATATTATAATATAATAATAATAATATCAATTTTTTTATGCAATTATTCTTTTTATTAGAAATTAAATTTAATTAACTATGTCTTAAGGTTGGACATTGAGAATTTATGTACATGTTTCCACTATTACAGTGGCCTACATTTTTTTTAGTCTCATATATTCTGTACATATTCCTTTAATCCAATGCCAACAATCTCTTAATTAAGGTTTAGAATGTTCAAATATATCTTTTGGTGTTAATTTAATAACTAAATCTTATACACATCCAATAAATTTATCTTATTTAATGCATTTTTATTATAAACGATGAACTTCTTGTATTACATTTTCTGTTTTCAACATTTCAGTTAATTCTTCAAAAATTCTTTTCCAACAATTTTAATCATCATATTTTGATCTTGTCCTTTTTCTACTATAATCTTAAGTTTAATCTTATTCATATGTTATATCCAATAAAGTAGAATGAATTGATTTATTTCGAATTTGCTTTTGTTATTATAAATTATCAATAGTAGATTCTAATTCTTGAATCTTATATATAAGTAAATCTCTTTATTATGTTAATTCTTCAATTATTTACATCATATTTTATTTTGTTTTATTCAATTCATCTTAAAGTAAATTAATATGTTATCGTAATTATTCACTGTCTTCTTCTTATGATTCTGTCAATTACAAGACATCTGAAGATGTTGACAGATACTTGCGATCATCTTCATTATTTTTTTGAATTATTTTCAAATTATCTTTGTAACATTAGAGTTTTCTTTATATTAATTAATAGTCTTATGAATCTTCCTCTTATGTATTGAGAGTACAAACTGAAGGAATTAATTGTGTAGGATGTGAGTATTATTACTATTGTTGTTGTTTATACATATATATATATGAATTTTAATTATGTTACTAATTTGTAAAATATATATATATATATTTGGATTAATATTATAGATGGTCAATCTGCATTGTAATCGTCCAATTTCTTAAGCAATTACTATTCGTATCCAGCACTATAATATTGAATGATTTCTGGTGGATAATAGGAATTGATTTCGTCGATATATTGTCTTAATTTGGAACCAGGATTAGCTTTAATTTCTTGAATCTTCTTTAATCCTTCTGATAATACAAATTATCTAAAAATGATAATAATATATAATATACTTTTTGGCTGCATTATCATTAGGTAATGTCTTCTGGAATTAATGTAAGACATATTATAAAATATCAGGGGGAGCTTCTGAGATTAATGGTTCAAGAGCAGGTAAATAAGTACACATTTATAATATTGATTTCAAAGCTTAACTTGATTTCTTTTTGAGATCTTCACTAGATTCAGGGAATTTATAAACCTAATATTATAACAACAATTATATACAGCTAATAAATGGGATGGAACATCAGCTTCAGCCATAGCTCTTGAATGATCTGCTGAATGTCCACCAATCATACCAAGAGACCATGCAGAAGCACTCTTTACTGATTGATCAGGTTCTTTTATTAAAGCATCTTTTAATGGTGCAATTCCTTTTGCTGCAATAATTCCCATTGCCAAAGCTTCATCAAAGGCTCCAATAAATCCTAATGTCATTATGCCTGGTAAACGTGCATCACCTTTAGCCTCATTGATATAATCAACAATTGACACTACTGCTCCTGCACTACATATCATTTTAGCTAAATCTTAAGATTATCTAGCAATTTCTCTAATGCATGTTGCTGCAGCTTTTCTATTTATTAGATTAATAAAAACATTTACCTAACTCCAGGATCTGTATCTTTTAATCTATATAAAATCTTTGGGAAGATATCCACATCTACAATTGCTTCAGCTAAATCTATAGTATGTTTTGCTATATTGGCCAAACAAAAACAAACTGATCTTTTCAATTCAGCATCATGATGAGGAATCAAAGCACTTAAAAATGGTGCAGCACCTGCATCAACTACATTCTAAGCCAATTCGGCTGAATGTTTACAGATTTCTGATAAAGCTCCTGCTGATACTCTTTTTAATGTAGTTTCTGGTTCTTAAATACAGAGCACCAATAATGGAACTGCTCCTGCATCTACTACAGCCTAAGCCAAATCTGCTGTATGTCTATACAGAATATATGTTATACTTACTTAGCTATATAACGAAGAGCACTGGCTGCAGCTTCTTTAACACTTGGATCAAATTCTTCTAAACATTAGACTAAAGCTTCTAGAGCACCTGAATTGACAACTGCCATTGCCAAAGTTGATGAATGTTTTGCAACGCATCTAAGTACAAATGCTGCAGCTTTTTTATAGAAACGATTTTGTTCTCCCAACGAACTTACTAATTATGGCAATATTTCATTGGAAACAACTGCTTCAGCTAAATCTTCAGAATGCTTAGCCAATCTTCCTAATGCTAAGGCTGCTGATTATTAAATAGATGGCACACAATCTAGAAGTAAAGGTCTCAATAAGGACATCACACCTAAAAGATTGGTTACGGTTTCATTACCTGCTGATTACAAAGCTTCAATATTTTATGGTCTTTTTGCTAACTCAGCTACTGTCTACACAAATTAAACTCTTGCTTTTTGATAAACTTCAAATGGTTGTAATACTGCACGACTCATTTTTAATTTATTATTGAAATAAATTATACATACAGATTATGTTAAATAATCCGAAAATAATATATTATTTATTTCTCATCATTCTTTTTTCTCCTTTTCCTTATGTATACTATGTGTACTATGTTTACTATGTAACATAGATAATAATGCTATTGATTATTGAATTATAAATTACTATAAATTACTATGAATGAAACACTGACCACAATTCTTATATCATTCACATTGTTTGATTTAACATTAAGGAATTATTATCCATGGAAATTCCAGAGGTATACATTTGTTATTGCAAATGAATAAGTGATGAAATTATCTATAAATGATTATCGCATAATCTTTATTGATTCTCCTTATGATTTCGATTCCAACAATCCAAAATAGATTACTAAATTTGTTATTGAGAATCCAACTGTTGTTATCAATCCCAATTCAAACATACTTGGATTTGCTTGACTTAATACATGATGATAACAATTTGATAGCGTAATACATTAAGAAATCTTATCTGACAAATTCAATCCAAATTTTAAAGTATAATGAGAATCAAGAAAACTTGATATTCTTCTTATTACAAAAGGATTCCCCAAAACTATTGTTATTATAAACACATAGGATGCTAATTTTAATGATTTTGGATCAAGCAATGAATGTCTATTATGCAAATACATCTACAAATAGATCTATACTTACTTCCAAAATAAACCCTTTGATAAATGTATTGATAAATGTGATAAAGGTATATAATAAGAATCCGAATTCTTTATTCGAATTATAGATTCCAATCATAGTTAAAATGGCTGAAAGTACATAAAGTGGCATTTTGTACTCTGAAATATCAAAAATCACTGCAAAACTTATGTGGACTAAAGCTAAGATTATTTTGATTAACATTTATATTATTACACATTAACAAATTAAATAAAAGAGTATTTTAATGAGATTGTATTACTATTTAAATGGAAATTATAATTATGGTTTAAAGATCTTTATTTAATTAGTCTTAATGTATATAAATGATATAAATAATAACATTATTTCAACAAGTCTTAAAAATTATCAAAAAGAATCAAAAATATTTATGATAATTAGATTTAGAAGTCTTTAATATAATAGAATCAGCATTCTTAATCACATATAAATTAATATGAAAGTTTAAGAGATAAGTTTAATGTTATTCATAAAATTTTCTATTTTATTTAATAAGTTAATGTTTTAATGGATATATATACAAGGCAAAACAATATAATCAGAGAGTGATTTAAGGGGGAATAGTCTATAGTCTATTTTGAGTATGTTTTTAGGTACTACTTTTTAGTGGATTGGAAATAGTTTTTTATTCACAGAAATATTATCTTGATTGTAATTATATGAAAGTAATAAATGAAATAGATCAATTAGAATATGGAATTTAACATATAAAAAGAGAATTAACATTATATCATGATGATTATTTTATATAATAATTAGAAATTACTTTAAATCATGAGAATCAAAATGTTTATTTATATAAAAACTCAATGCATTTTATCAAAATTCATTTTAATTTATAATAATATAATTGAATAATAGCTAAAAATTAAGAAAACATAATTATTTATGACTATTTCATGAATAATTTTAATGTATTAAAAAAATTTTGACTGTTTTTTTTTAAATTAGTATTTAATTTGTAAAATTATAAATAAAATATCACTCTTCAAATCTGAATTTGATTTGTCCTTTTTACATAATATTTTGATTACAATTGATAAATTCGCATTTATTTATTAATTTTGAGCATTCTAAGCAATAAGTGATTAAATGATTTTAATGACAATTTACAAATTAAGTACCTTTAGATTTATCACATTTTTAACAATAATATTAATTGAAATTGATTTAATTTTACATTTCATTAATTTTTAAATTTTGTTCAATATTTAAATTTTACTAAAATGAACATTTTAATAAATCTTAATGTTTCCACATTAAATCTTTTATTAGATCATTTTTATTTTGATCTATTTATTTGATTTATAATTTCTTTCTTGATTAAATTTTAGTTTCACAATAAAGACAATCTTAATTTTCAATTGAACAATCAAAACAATAACGCAAATGACCACATGGAATCAATAATGTATCAGATTATCTTTCCATACAAATTCTACATTTAATAATATGATTTCCTTTTTATTACAATTCTCCTCTAGCTATATTTTATATTATATCTTCATCATTTATTGGAAGATAGAATTACTCCATTTAGAATAATTCATGTTTAGAGTATTTATTATGTGTAAACTGAATTTCAAAATTATCTTATTCAATTAATCCAAAGGTAATTATCTCTTCAGTATGTTTATTTATTATTCTAATATTAATATAAAATTAATTACAGAATTTAACAATTAATATTGAAACTATTATTATTTGTTGAAAACTTTGAAGTATAAATAAATTTTGAAGTATTTAAAGTTAATTTTAAATTATTATCACTAAATGAATGAAATTCTAATTTTTTTATATCATCTACATATAATTAATAATAATTTACATTAATCATTTCCAATTATAACAGACCAATCTGAAGAGTTTCTATAATTGAGATAAAACTTTTATCGTTACTCTATTGAATCAAATTAAGGACTGAATAATATTTGTGGAGAATATTGTTTAACTTAAAATATATTATTTGAGATAAAGCATTGATCTTTCAATTCTGAATCATCATTGATTTTAATTCTTAAGATTTGTCTATCTTCATTAGAATTTATATAATTTAATTAGCCTTCAATTTCAATTATTTAAATTGGTTAATTATCTGCTTTTTAATTTTCAAGATAGCATAAATCAAATAAGATTACCATTCCTTATATTAAAGCAACTTCTAATTCATTTTTGTTTCGAGATATAATTTACATTAGTGTATCATTAAGTTTATTAAAATCTGGATCTTTAGGTGTAGTTTAGAAAAAGTTTAAGTAATTACAGATGCTTTATTAAGATTAAATTGACTAAATATTGTAATTAGGCTAGTTTTCATTAGCAAAATTAAAATTTTAAACACTTATCTCAATATACTTCTTGATGATATCTAATTTCCATTGACATGTCTTAACAGATTCTGATAATACAATAAAACACAAGACTTTCTTAACTCTAATTTATTGATAATTCTTACTTTGCAAATTGTATTAAATTAAATATATTCTATAGTTTAACATCGAATTCTATCAATTCTTCATATTAAATCAAAAAAATTAGATTCTTATTTATTAAAATGTTTCTACAAAGTTCTTAGTAATTACAAGAATAAATTTTAAATGAGTAATCTTCTTATTAAATTTGAATGCATTTTTAGGGAGATTCCTCTATTTGTTTTAAGTTAATGTGATTCATGCTTGTTCCATATGTAATCAAAGGGATCTTAAAGTTTTTCATGTTCTCTAATCGAAATTCTTTAATTAAGTTTTCCAAAAAATTACAATATATAAACCAAAATATTCTGTTATTTCCTGATAAACTATTAGGTTTTTAAAAATATATAAATAATAATATATTCACAATTCAGACAATCTAAACTTGTTTATTCAAATATAAAGATGGGATAACAAATATTATATCTAAAGATCATTGCAATATTTATTCTAATCATGATATCAAAAAGTTATATAGAAATTTATTTGTTAGGTTGAATCTATAAATTACTCAAATTTATAATAGTTAACTTTCAATAGATCATTTTATGCATTATTGACACTCAATCATAATTTATAAGTATAAACTAATCAGGGTTTATCATTCTTCATTTAAATTTTCTAAAGGTATCTATAATCCTATGGATTATTAATTTAACAAAATAGCAGTATTCCTTTGAAGGAGTACTGTACTAAGTATAATGAAAAGAATACAACCAGAAATTGATTGTTTCTCTTTACTACTCAAATATGAATTCTTGGAGAAAAATGAGAGATCATTAAAAATTTAATGGTTTATAATACAATATAATTATTTTTAAATGATGATAATAAACTATTTTAATTTCTTTGAGAGTTTTTATATTGATTATAATATAATTCATTGAAAATATATATCCCGCAATAAATAATTTTAATGAATCATCTTAGAGACAGTAGTGCTGATTTTGATGTTATTGCTAGCATTCCTGCTGGTCCTATTCCAGCAAATATAGATAAAAAGTGGATTTTGATAACATCCTCCTGTGCTTTATTGACAATTTTTGGATTCGCATTGATTAGTTCAGGTGCTGTTCGCTATAAATCAGTACAATCATCAGTCATAACTATCTTATTGGGATCAGTTTTAAGCATATTGTTTTTTTGGTTTGTAAATAAAATATCTTATTAACTGAAAGTTAGGATATGGTTTTGCATTTGGAGATGACTATGGAAATAAATTCGTTGGTTTAAGTAAATTTGCAGGAAGTGGATACTAGATTGAATTAGTTGAAGATGATTATACGAATTTTAGTAATAGAGATAGATTATAATTAATTTAGTTTTCTAAACAGTAGGAGTAATAATTGTTGCATCTCTATATGGATTAGGAACATTAGAAAGATCTAGATTCTTTTCAATTGGTTTATGTTTAGCATTTATAACAAGTTTTTTATATCCAATAGCACTTCATTGGGTCTAACCTAAAGGATGGTTAGGTGCTTTTGGGTTTGTAGATTTTGCAGGATCAAGTTATATTCATTTTTTTGGTGGTATTACAGCATTAGTTATTTCATTCTTTTTAAAAGAGAGAGGAGATTAAACTGGTAATATGCATCCAAGTACTTTCCCTCATCATTCTCCAATTAATATTGGATATGGTTCAATTATTTTGACTATTGCAATTATATTATTTGTTAATTGTGCTAATCCATAAGGATAATATGATAAATATGAATAAGGATTAATAGCAGTTAATACTGTTGTAGCATCAACATTTTCAGCAATAACTAGTTTCTGTTTATAATATTAGAAAACTTATTAAATAAGTTTAATTGCATTAACTTAAGGTAGTGTTACTGGTATTGTTGCAATTTCATCTATGGCTAATGATGTTAGAATTTCAGGATCTGCATTTACTGGTGTTTTAGCTGGTATTATTTATGTTAACCTCACAATTATAATTAAAAGATCTCGTATTGATGATCCTGCTTAAACTATTGCTACACATATGGTATTCCACCTAAATTCATACTTTAGGGTCCTGGTCTCTTAGGAACCATTTTAGTTGGTTTTCTAAGTATTACCAAAGGTTTGATGACTGGTCATGGTGCTAAATAATTGGGATTATAAATTGTGGGAATATTAGTATTGATTATATGGGGACTTTTAGTAGCCATCTCTATTTTCTCATTAAAAAGTGTTGGTTTACTTAAAATTAATCCATTTTAAGAGTAATAAGGAATTGATATCAGTTATGGTAATTAATAATTTAATTATTTTGTAGCTGAAGGAGAAGCTATTCAATTTTTAGATGAATAACAAGAACCTACTTTATTTAGTATTTCTCCAAAAAAGGGAATCTTTAAATGATTAAAAAATATATAAGTAAAATATTAAAAAAAAATTCAATTTAAATAATGCATAATATCACTGTTGCTATTAGAGTTAAACCAGTTTAATAAACTTTTAAAACCATTATTGTTAATGGCTCCACGGTTACTCTACTTGATCCTGAATTAGAATTCAATAATCCTGTCGATGTAAAATGACATTTCTATTTTATATTTTACATCCTAAAGATCCTGAAAAAGAATAGAATTAAAGATACATCTTATGAATTTGACCTTGTCTTTGATTAATAAGCCGATCAAAAAGAAGTATATGAAAAATCAGCAGAACCCCTTTTAGATGATCTTATTTCAGGTTAAAATGTAACTATTTTTGCATATGGAGCTACAGGAAGTGGTAAAACTCATACGTATTATTATAATCCCTAATTTCTTATAGCATGATGGGAAACCAAAATCAGTAAGGAATTATACCAAGAGCATTGAATGATTTATTTGAAAGATTATCAAAAGAATAAGCTGCTTAAGTATCAACATTCTTAATATTTAGGCATCACTTACTTTTTTAGAAATATATAATGAAACTATTAGAGATCTTTTGACTGGCAAATTATTGGATTTGAGAGAAGATGGTAATAAAGGATTAGTAGTTGTGAATTTATTCAAAGCACCTGTTCCAAATCTTAATGATATAACACAATATATTAAATATGGTAATAGTAGAAGAGCAAAGGAACCTACAGGTGCTAATGAAAATTCTACAAGATCACATACAGTTTTGTAATTGATGTTAAAATAATGCACCTTTACTTTTGTTGATTTAGCTGGTTCTGAAAGAGCATCCTAAACTACAAATAAGGGATAAAGAATGGTAGAGGGAGCAATGATAAATAGATCCCTTTTAGTTCTTGGTAATTGCATCAAGGCTTTATTTTCAAAAGAATAATTTGTACCTTTTAGAGGTAGTAAGTTAACAAGATTATTAAAGGATGCTCTTTAAGGTAATTCAAAAACTGTTATGATTGCTAATGTTGCTCCAAATAATTATGAAGATTCATTTAATACACTGCTTTATGCTCATAGAACTAGGAATATTGATCCAACACCAAATAATTTTTAAGAGATGATTGTTTAATTAAGAGAAGAGAATGAAGAAATCAAAAAGACACTTAAGAAATAAAATAGTTAATCAAAGATATAATTATAAATTGAGCAATAATTTAAAGAGTAATAAAGATAAGAGAAAATAGAAAAGTAATAATAATAATAAACAGAAAAATAAGTTTATGATGAAGAATAAATAAAACAAACTATTTAAAAATAATTTGTTTAAGAATCAGAATTAATTAAATAATTATTTAAATTAGAGGATACTTTAATGCAAACTCATTTAGATATAGTTGAATATTAAAAATAATAAAGTGTATAATTTCAATAGAAAATTGAAGATCTAATTAATAAATACAATGATTAAATAAATAATACAGAAAATGAGTAATTTGAAATTGCTATGAAATATAAAACAATTTTATAATAAAGAAGAAAAATATATGACGTATAATTTATTTGATAATTAAACTTAGTAATGTATGTAAAGTTAATATTAATCAGTTAAGGATGAATTTAGAAAATAAGTATAAAATATTGAAAAAATGAAAGGTTTATAGAGTGATAAAAGAGAAGAAATAATGAAGAAATTTAAAGAATTGGAAATTGAACATCTTAAAAAGATGTCTAATTAAAAAAATGGAAATTAAGTATAAATAGATGAGGAAACTTTAAAAGAAATTAAGAAAAATAGATTATAGAGTTTAAATAAATAAATAAAAGATGGAAAATTGTGAATGAATAATAAAAAATATTAAAAATAATAAATATTAACTATTAATTAATTATAAAGATATATTCTCATTTAAATCATATAATTTCTTAATTTTTCTTATCTTCTAATTTCTCATACTTTTAATCTGCTATTTCTTTAGATGTTTTAGAATCTATATATGGTATTGCAACAACTAAATTATTATCATTATATTTTACATAAACCATTTGTTAAATTTACTTTCAATAATTATGTTACTGTTTTTGGATTCTTTTCATAAAATTATTATTCTACTTCACAATGATGAATAATATAGAAATTCCCATAAGCTATTGCACCTTCAGAATCTTAAACAGGACAAAATATATCATAACCTATAGTTTTTTTTTTATATGGTGTGAGTATGTGTTCAGGAGGATCCAAAGAGAATAAATCATTCATTTTTAAAGTTGCATTTCCCCAATCAAAAGTATATACTTGTCTTTAATCAGTATTTCTAAATTTCATACTCTCTCCAGATAATAATAATTAATTATTTCCATAATATGGACAACTAAATACAGGGTAAGCCAATACACTTCTATGATATGGATCATCATCTAAGAATTAAATTTTAAATGATTATTATTAATCTCCAATAAATTTTTCATCTCTACAAGAAAATATCTATCCTAAATGTTATTAGGGTCCTCTATGATTTGGAAAACTATCTGGTTCTCTAGAGATTCCTCCAAAAAATACAATTAATTTATCAAAAGTATTGTGATTCATAGTAAAAAAACTACCATCAAATCTCTATACTAATTTTAATTTCATCTATTCCCAATGATTGTTTCTAAATATATACTAACTATTTAATAGTTCATATCTAATTGCATTATCAAAATTTGCTATTTATTTTTAACCATAAAATACAAATAACTATCTAATCATTATTAAATATAATTATACTATTTATAACATATTCCCATAAAATTATAACCTTCTTTTGGTAATTTTGGTAATTCTGTTATTTTTGCTTCCTATCCACTTTAAATAATAGATTTTGGAAAGGAAATTTATAGTACTTAATCAGACTATTAACCTCTCTCAGTCTTTCTTCCTCCAATCATATATATATGATTATGAGTAAGACTTCCCTCTCCTTTCACATAGAGTGCCTATTCTAATTATACATAAGGTTATCCTTTGAATTTTAATGGAAATTCATACCAAATACCATATTAAACTAGATAAACAATTAACTATAATCAAAAATATTATTATTACAATTGATTAAACTTAATTATTTGTAGTTATCTTCTTAAGTGCAAATACATAATCTTTCTATAAGGATTATCTTCCCAATGATATTAATTTCATTGATTTAATCAATACTTATTTAAGATCTGATTTTTTAAGTGCAATTTTTTATTGTAAATCATTAAAAGTATATTGAGAATAGTCAGGTAATTTAAGTATTTTATAAATTCTATTATATATTAAGGATTGCAATTTAACTAATGTTTAACTAATTTCATCTGCAATAAAAGCACTTTCTGTTTAAAATAATTCTTGATTAAGTCCCTATTGTCTTCTTGTAACTCCTAATATAGGATTTGAACCTGGCAATTAAAATCTTTTCTTTGTTATTTTTTATTCAACATAATAGGATTTATTGCTTTACTTATATATCAATTGAGATGTATTTAATTTAAGATCAGGATTATTTTTTTAAAAGAGTTCTAATTCTTATAAAATATGATAAAAAGTGTAATCGATACCATAATCTTTAAAATTGGCAAATTTTCTACATCCTGGACATGCAAAACCACTTAGTAGTAGAATTAATAATTTACGTAGGATCAACCTTTTTATACATTAATTAATAATGTTCAAGCCAATATTCTAATTCAAATACACAATGAATGTAATTAATGGGAGAATGTCTAACAGGAATAATCACAGGAAGTTTAGAAAATTGACAAATTGTAGTAATTAATACTTCTTAACTTCCCATTTTTTCTTATAATAGTCTTTAGAATGATGTGCTTGTGTTTTATGATTTTAATAGTAATGAATATTCTTCTAACATTTTCTATTAATTATTATTATAATATAATCAATTATTATTAGATAAACAATTAATTCAATTAACTTCTTTGAAAAAATTACTTCTTTATTTATAAATACCTTAATAAGGTTTTGGAATTTTCCTGAGACTTCTCATCATAATTGGACTTTTTGCATTTTTATTTTATTCTCCAAGTCTTCTTAATTTCCAACCTTTTTTAATAGCAGTAAAGAAGAATGAATATAGAGAATGTTCAGGATATAATCTTTTTTTACCAAAAAATCTTTAAACTTTTGCATATCTAAAAATTAGAATTAGTAAATTAATTACCTCTTTATAACAAAATCATAATTATTTTAAGGTTGATATATTAAAAAGATATGCATTTTATCAAAGCCAGGTAACATTGGAGCAATTGTTTGAATACTGAAATGTTAATTGTTTTGTGTATTATTCTCTGTAATGTATGTTTAATTATTATTTGTTGTTGTTCTTTTAATTTATACTCTAGCATTATTTGTAAGATTTTTAAGATCCATATCTGATTTTTATGGTATAAGTGTTATGAATTTTTAATCAATTGACATTCTATGTGTGTGAATATTGTGATCATCATTAGATGCACTTCTTGATAATTACTTTTTAAGTTATGGTTTTGTTAAAGATAGAGAATGTTAAGGATTATTCTAATGAACTAAGTTAATTTATGGTTTTGGAATAGATACAATAAATTAATCTTAATTTTCAGAAGAGTTATCTGAATAAATCTAATCTTCTTTATATGCTAAATATAATAAGATTATGATTACAATCTTTAGTTAAACCACCACCAAATCCTGCAGTTTATAATGTTGATTTAGGTTAATTAGATTTTCTTTAATAATTAATAATTGATTTTTGACCTTCTTCATCATCAATATTTTATATAATTGTACCAGATACACTTTTTTCATTTATTAAAGATTTAATTTCAACTAAAATATCATCATTTTTATAATTTACCTTATTCTATCTATCCATCATCATCTTCATATGCATCATTCATTTATAAAGTATGTGAATCTACCTCTTCTTAAAATTTAACTTATGCATCATTTTAATAATCTTCTCCACGAATTGAATTAACTTAAAAATTAATCCATGCATGATATTTACCAAGATACTTTCTAGAATATCTTTAATTTCTTGTTTGTTTAACTGGATAATACTCTTTTTTAATAACTTTTTCTTTGTCAGCACAAAAATGTAAATAATTACAATTTTGAATTAAATGAGTATTACTTTAACAACTAAAACAATTAAGATACAAGGCTCCATAATCTCCATTTTAAATACGATCTCTTATTTCACAAAATTTTTCATAATCATCTGGATAAGAAGAGATAATATTTAAAAACTTTTCTCTTTATATTTTAAATACTCTTGTGAATCCTTTTGATATAGCAGTAGCATTTCTAGGATTCCCAGTAAATAATTCTAATTCTCCAAAATAATCAAATTAATGGTAATTTTAAAATGTATTCCTTTTTATTTTTTCTTTTATTTAATTACCTTCAAATATTAACTCAACTTCACCTTTTGTTATAATATAAAGTGAACAATCATCCAATTCATTAATCTTTAAATATAATATAACAATATTTACAGTAATAATTCTTTCTTCAGGAGAATATGCTTATTCTTCCATATAATGTAATAAACTCTTAATAAAAGATTCAGAAAATAACTTCATTATTATTTTACAATTCTTTAAAATGTTCCCTCTTAATTAATATTATAATTCATCTTATAAATGTTTACTTAATTTATTAACAATCGATCCTACTTCATCATCATTCATCTCTTATTCCTCTTACCATATATATTCCAAATAACTCCTTATTTTTGTTTATAATTCAAATTATATCTTATTTTTACTCATATATGTATTTATTAAACTAACTGTTCTACTATATTCAATAGTTCCTTTGTACATATTCGATACAAATATTCCAATACTATTAACTGAATATGCAAAAACTATAGATCCTATAAACATAGTTAAATTGTTAATAAGTAATTCCAAATCATTCTTAGCTGTAATATCTCCATATCCAACTGTAGTCATTGTCATAGTAGCCCAATAAATAGCTACATTATATTATGATGCATTTGATTTATCTCTTAAATTATAAGCATCCAACCATGAATAAGAAGTATTATAATATGCTATTCCATGCCAAATACATCCACATATATGTACAACACTAACTATAACCATTAGAACTTTTAATAGACCAACTAAATCATTTAGATACCCACTTAGATTAAAAAACCTAAATATAATATATATATAAATATACTCTTAAATTTAAGCTAGAATCTTGTTTATTTTGGTTATCCTCAATATATAAAATACAACACATAAGATTGTTTAAATCAAGATCATTGTTTAATCTTTGGAACTAAGATTAGGTACAAAAAATTGGACTGTCACAGTAAAAAAAGAAACCACATAAATATATATAAAATTTTACTAAATCGACAAATGCATTCTTATTAAAATAGTTTAACATTATTCTTTTTCTGTCCTTTATTATTTGTCCTTTTTCAATAAAAGCTAAATTCATACCAACTCCTATATCCAAAGCCATTATTATCATAAGCATATATTCAATAATTGCACTTTTGGTTTCTGAAAATAATTCACTTATATGATAAATTTCAAATGATATTTTATATGGTAACCAAAAGAAAATAAGTAAATATGTAATAATTTGAAATGCATCCCAAAATGCAATAAATTTACTATATGGTGTAAATACATCCACTAAAATCCATAATTGATATCCTCTACTTTATTCATTTCCATCACTTGAAATCTATAGATCGTCCAATTATTAAATTTAAAATGGACTTAATTGATTTAATTTTCTCAAATACGATCTATTCCATAGATTGTTTATGAAGTTACTCTATAAACTCTTTGCAATAATTGTTTTCAAAAATTAAGGTTTAGATCCATATTAAATTTCTTCATTATCATAAGCAGATTAATATTCAGATTTCTTGACTCCTAAAGTTTTTTACCTTATCAAAGGTAATGGTATTGCTTAATTTAAACTGCAAGAGCTATTTTGTTAAAGATCTCCTTCCTGAAATCCAACTCTACTACTTAATAAAGGTGGAATGGGTCCTTTGAATTCTGAATCAACTGAACTTTCAAACATTATATTAGATAATTTTAGATATATTTTTTTAATTATTATTGTTGAAATTTTATCTAGAATAAACATTAAATTAAGGACAAGTATGAACAATGTGACATTTTTTGTTTTCTTTAAAAATTATATTACCAACTAATTTGTTAATTTGAATTCTAAAATAATATTTTTATTTGATTATTTTAACGAAATGCAAGAAATTTTGTAAATTGTATTTGATTTGGGAGAAATGAAATAAGTAAAATTAAATTATATATATCAAGGAAACACTTAAAGTTTATAGGGATTCTGACCCTGTTTAATTAGCATAAGATTTTGTTCATTAACATAATTTAAAAAATGAAGCTGTTCCTATGATAGAGGAAACTATTTGGCATCATTTAAAATAAATGACCATAAATAAATCTCAAACACAAGATAATATATTTGATAGATTACACAAAGAAGCATAGATCAAATAACAAAGAAAATAAATTTAATTTGCTAATCAATAACTAAGTCAAAGAGGAAATATGCCATCACCAGTTCTCAATTATAATCCAGGAGACATATTGTATTAGAAAGGCATATAACATAAAGAATAAATGGAGTATCTATACTTTATATGATTATTATCAGACGTTTATAAGATTAAAGAAAGATGGAACAATCTTAAGTAGAGTATCCATTTAAACCTTTCATTAGTGAAAGAAGTTAACTTATAGCTAAAAGACCACATAAATAATCAATGCCAGATTATTTAATATAAATGGGAAAAGATATTAGTAAACATAAAGATTAAATGAGGACAAGTAGATATCAAATTGAAACATAGGAGTGTTCATTTAGACCAAATATAAATTAAATGTATATTTTATATATTATAAACAATATAGAAGTTAAAAAATACTAATGGAGAAATCAAGAAATTCATAATCTAATATTTATGATAGATTGTATAATGAAGGTATGTAATCTAAAGTTAAACGTATGAGTAATATGGAAAATACAGAAAGTTAATCATAAAGTTAATTATTTAATCAATAAAGTTCAAGAAAACATAGTAAAACAGAAATACCATTCTTAGAAAGAATGCAAATATCTGTTTTTGAATAGAGAAAGAAAAAAGAAGCAAATTAACCTTAATAAGAATATGATTAAAGTACAGGATAAAAATTGTATCATCCTTAAATATGTCGACCTCCTATTTCTGTATTATATAATATTTAATTAGCGTAATGCTGATCATTTACCTATTGGAGAATATTTATATTAGATGAGAACAGTAAAAGAAGATAAATTTCATTTTCTTATTGAATAAGATAGATAAGAATAATAAAATCAAAGAGCAAAATCTTTAGATAAATCAAATTAAATTTATGAATTGAAAAAGAAGAAATTCCTATATGAAATTTTTAATTTATTAGATTCAGATGGTGATGGAGTAATATCAGCATAAAGAATAGAAATATCAGCTATTAATTCTGAAATCTTATAAATCTTAACACCCTTATTATGTGAGATGGAATAAATTAATGCTTAATTAAATTAACAACAATTCTATGAAGCAGCATCCAGATTGATATAAACCTTACCTATTGTTGATAGAGATAAGTTGTTAAAAGGATTATCAAACAAAAAGAAAACTAATTAAGAAGAGTATTCATTTTAAGTAATTATAATTATTTAATAATTTAATAGCCATAATTGAATTAAAATTCAATGAGGATAGTCAGCACAAGATAAAATCATTCTGCTAGTAATCACAAACATCAATTATAATAAAAAGATGAAATGGCAGAATGTACATTCAAACCTAAATTATATACTCCACTTAAAATATATGAATTTATGCTTAATTAATGAATATTATTATATTTATTTATAAGCATTAAATATATAATGAATTCCAAAATAAAACTAGCTTTTGAAAAGATTGTTGGTACATCTAATATCTTAACAAATGATTTGAATCCATTTAATACAGATTGGATGAACAAATATGTTGGATCATCACAAATTGTATTAACTCCTTAAACAACTGTTCAAGTTTCATAAATTCTAAAATTTTGCAATGAAAATTTAATTAAAGTTGTACCTTAATCTGGTAATACAGGATTAGTTGGAGGAAGTGTGCCAATTAATGATGAAATAATTATTTCAATGAAAAAAATGAATAAAATTTAAGAATTTGATTTAAATTCTGCCATTTTAACATCAGAATCTGGAGTTATTTTGGACAATCTTAATAATTATTTATTACAATACAAATGTTTGAAATATGATAACTAAATTTAGATTAAATGCCTTGGGATTTAGGAGCAAGAGGATCTTGTTTATTGGGAGGCAACATTTCTACTAATGCAGGTGGTTTGAATGTTGTTAAACATGGATTGCTAAGAAATTATATTCTAGGATTAGAAGTTGTATTGCCAAATGGAAAGATTTTAAATTTATTAAATAAAAATAGAAAAGATAACACAGGGACTGATTTAAAATAACTATTTATTGGATCTGAAGGAACATTAGGCATTATTACAAAGGCGAATGTTTTGTGTATACCAATTCCTAACGAGAAGAAGGTGTTCTTTTTAGAACTCAAATCCTTTTAGGATGTGATTAAGGTGTAAGGCTTAATTAAATAGATTAGGTTTTATAAAAAGTGAAGAGAAATGAATAACTATTAGCTTTTGAGTTTATGGAAGGTAGAATACTGTATAAGAATATGCATAGACATAATGGCAATTAACTTCCATTTTAATTTTAAGAGGATAGGTATTATGTTCTGATTGAGATTTCTGGATAATCTATAAATGTTGATTAATTTGGTATGGATATGATGGAATTCACATAAGAAATCATTATGAATCAAAGTGAAAAGGAAGCTTAATTTTTATGGAAATTGAGAGAAGAAATAGCTGAATCAATGGGTAAAATGGGTTATGTATTGAAATATGATGTAAGCATTCCTCCAGATAAATTTGAATGGTTAGTCAATTAAATCTATCCTAAAAGAGAAGGTCCATTTCATGTATATTATGGACATGTGGGAGATGGAAATGTTCATATTAATATAGTGTTTGAATAATTAGAGGATTTACATAAAGAAGAGGATAAAATAGAATAGAAGTTATTTGGATTAGTGAAATCTGAAGGTGGAAGTATAAGTGCTGAACATGGGATAGGATAACATAAAAGAAAATATATGGAATTATAAAAGGGAAAGGATGTATTGGAATGTTTGAATGAAATAAAGAGACTTTTTGATCCTAATGGTATTATGAATCCGAATAAATTATTATGAAAGTAATAGCATATTTAATTTTATAATGAAAAAATATCTCAATTCTTTCAAGCAAATTGTAGGAGTATAGAATATGATAACAGATCCATTCGATCTTAAACCTTTGAATTAAGATTGGTAGAGATTCTATTAAGGTAAATCAGAATTAGCTGTTACTCCTACTTCAACAAAGATGGTGAGTGAGGTCTTATAATTTTGCAATTAAAATAATATCAAAGTAGTACCATAAGGAGGCAATACAAGTTTTGTAGGAGGAGCAACTCCAGTATAGGATGAATTGATTTTGAGTCTAAGAAAGATGAATAACATATTGGAATTTGATACTACAACATCTATAGTAACAGCTGAGTCTGGAGTCATATTGTAAACTATGAATGACTATTTGCAAGCATATAGATGTATAAGATTAAATTGATTTAGATTAAATGCCTTGGGATTTGGGAGCAAGAGGATCATGTTAATTAGGTGGAAATATTGCTACAAATGCAGGAGGATTGAATGTTGTTAAGAATGGACCTTTGAGAAATTACATTTTAGGATTAGAGGTTGTTTTACCAAGTGGAAAGATCTTAAATTTATTAAATAAAAATAGAAAAGATAACACTGGAACTGATTTAAAATAATTATTTATTGGATCTGAAGGAACATTAGGTATTATTACTTAAGCTAATGTTTTGTGTACTCCAATTCCTGAATAAAGACAAGTATTTTTTTTGGAATTGAAGGATTTTGATGAGGTTATATATTTGTTGAGATCTGCAAAATAATTTGAATAATTGGGAGCATTTGAATTTATGGAGGGGAGAATCTTATAAAGATGTTTGCCTTTTAATCCATAATTAAAGGCTCCATTTGAATTTAAAGATGATAAATATTATGTTTTGATTGAGATTTGTGGTTAGTAGATAGAATTGGAGTATTATTTTGAACGTTTATTGAAACATACAGAATAGATAGTTTTTAATTAAAATGAAACTGAATTACAGGCTATGTGGAGATGGAGAGAGAGTGTACCAGAAAATTTACATAAGATGGGACATGTATTGACTTATGATCTTAGGTAAATGAATATTATAATATTGTTAGTATACCTCCTGATAAATTTGAATGGTTTGCAGAATAAGTGTATTATGGAAGGAAGGGGCCTTATAATGCATTTTATGGACATTTAGGAGATGGAAATATACATTATAATATTATATTTGAAAGTGTAGAAGAGATGCATAAGGAACAACACAGAGTAGAAGAGAAGATTATTAAATTAACAAAGGATTTGAATGGATCTATAAGTGCTGAACATGGGATAGGATAATTGAAGCGACATTATATGGAAGTTTAGAAAGGAAAAGAAACTTTTGGATATATGTAAGAATTAAAGAGACTATTTGATCCTAATAACATTCTAAATCCTGAAAAGTTATTGTGATAAAATATATAATAATATTCAGTATTCAGTATTGATTCTCCTAACATTCAAATGCTTTATCACTATGGATGGAGGTTTTGGAACATGAATGGTTTTGCGTGGTTTATGGAGATCACGGATATAACGATCATAGACATCATCTTTATATACATCATCGGCCATTCCGAAAAAGGCTGTTATAGTTACATTTGCAGACATCGTTAATTTTATTAATGAAACACAAAATACCAACTTTGGATCTACTCAAAACAACTAGACCAACTAGTAGAAATGATTCAAGATAATAATCTCATGTGTCTTTTAGAATTACATTACAGACTCCTAAAACTACTGTACGTTATAATAATCCATAAACTTCAAGAATAATAGAGTAATCTATACTTAAAAATGATATTTCTTAACTCAAATCTAAACATCGTAAAGCAAAGACTGAGACTGATCCTCTTGTATTTTGGGATCAGGTTCAAAACTTTGGACATTTGAGAACGATAGAACCACCTAAATTTAATTAGGAGAAGCAAACTTAATTGTACCAAAAACTTAAAAAAATGAAAATTGAAAAAGAAGAAAAAATTAGAAAAGAATAGGAAGAAACAGAAAGAATAAAGATTTTGGAATTAGAAAGAAAACATAAAGAATAATAGGCATTAGAATAAGAAAAAAAAAGAATGATGGATTCTTAAAGATATTAAGAGTATTTGGCTGAAAGATACAAAATTGATAGAAGATTCTCAATTTTCACTTTAGTAAATGCCTTAATGTTAAAAAAATTACATTCTAAACCAACTTCTTTTAGATTAGCCAAATTGATTGCTAATCAATATCTTAATCTCTTAAATTACAAAGCCATCTTACACAAAATTACAATGTAGTAATCCTAACCATTATAAATCTCATAAATTTTATAAGGAAATGCAGAATAATTAGCATAATTAAAAAATGTATAACATCGATTGAATGAAGGTTTAATATTAAGAAGAAAACAAACTAGAGTATTCTTGAATAAATAAAAAACAATCTATGAATAAAGTCTAATTCCACCTTAATTTTCAGAACCTGTACTTAAACGTATTCGTTTTCTATAAGCTTGTCTAAGATTGAAAGTGTTTAAATTAAATAAAAAAAATGTTGAACCAAAACAAAAAATAAAAAGTAATAGAGTACATCCAAATAGAGTCAAAGCACTTAAAAAAAGATTGGATGATATTGATTTTATAAAAGCCAATTCTCCTTCTTTTAATAGTCCATTGTCCTCTCCTGGATAAACTGTTGCTAATCCATTAGGTTTATTTTGTACACTTTATAAGGTTACTGATACTCTGAAAAATTATGATAGAATTAAAACTCAAAAAATGATACAAAAAACTAATGATTATTTAGTTAAGAGAGTATAATCTTTATATTATCCTGTTATAAGATATGTTTCTATCTTCTACAAAAATGTTGTTGTTTGGTCAATTTAATATTCTGATATTACTTTAGATCGAACATGTATAGTATTATTTTTTAAAGGTGAAGGCAGATCTTAATATTTTTATCGTTTAGATATTCCAATAGGAGCAATATAAAAAGAAGATATTGGAGAATAGAATTGTATTACAGTATGGCCAACAGTTCGTGATTATCTTATGAATTATTTAGAATTGAAAGGATAATTGGCTCTATTAATATAAACAAAATATGGATGTGCAAAAAATTATAAATTGAATTTTATTTAAGGTTTATCGATGCGTTCTAGAAAGAATATAACAGAAGATGATATTAATGCTATAGTTGAAACTAAAGAAATTCTAAATTATCTATAAACATCATAAATAGTTAGAATAAGAAAGATATTTGGATCAGTTTATGAATTATTACCTTAATTTTAAGATTGTAATCTTTTGTCTGATACAACATAATATATTTTGAATTTACCTCTTGTTCATGATACAATTTTATAATTAAGAATACTAGAACAATAGATTTTAGAATATAGACGTAACATTTATAAAAAACCATAGGATTTATCTACAAGATATAAGGATTTTATTGAAAGTAATAAAAGTATACTAAATTAAATTTTGGCATTCCGTTTTGTACATAACAATAGTATGTTCTTTTAAGATTAAATGCTTGAAGATATTTATGATTTATCTCATAAATCTATATATATATAATGTACAACAATCAATATATAAGATATATTGAATCATTATGATTTTTAAATATGTAATTAAATCAGTAAATATTGTTTAATAAGTTTACATTTAACATTAAAAAGTTAATTTCATTTTGATGATTTATTATTTAATGCATAAAAACATTCAGTTAGAACAGGATTTTAAATTATATCTAATTTTTTTGATGTTGATTATTCACATTTTGATTGGAAATTTAAATAAGAATATTTTAAAGTAAGAATTGAAGTAACAGTTTTTGAAAGAGATAAATCATTAAAATGGAGTGAAAAATAATTATTTTAAGATATCAAATAATCAAGAAATGAACGTGCTTTTAAACCATTGAAAATGAATTTAGATGATTTCTGTAAATTAGGATAAGCTTTATAAGAAACTACATTTAATAATGGAGATATATAATAATGTAATTTTGATTAAATTCTTAAAAATATTATATCTGAATAATGTTCATATTCATAAGTAGCTGATATTGTATTGAAAAATGCATTTACTTTAGATATAAAAAATAGAAAAATTATCATCTAACCTAAATATCTTCATATTTTATCAAAAACTCATAATTTTATTTAAAAGATGGATCATTAAAGTCTTTACAATAAAATAGATTGTGTATTTAAATATAGTGTATATCCAAATGAATAAAATGATATAAGAAGAGGTTATGAAAATAGAGAGAAAGAGAATCAAATAGCATAATTATTACCTTTTAATAAATTATTTTAAGATATAAATCAAATTGATATGAGAATTACAGTTGAAGCTCGAAAAATTGAATAAGTTACAGATTATGCATTTGATTTTTAAGATTAATGGAGTGATTTACATAAATAAACTATGACATACAATAAATATTAAAGTTTTGAAATGTTTTAAAGAAAGTTTTTATTTATTGATTAAAATAACTACATGAAGATAATTTATATAAAATAACATCAATAACCTATCATATTGTATTTATATGATTAACATTTAATACATTAAATTTCTAATTGTTAAAAAATGAATAAATATTAAAAATCTCAAATTTTAACAGGAATCATTCGTGTATTATATTCCCCTACTTCATTTTTATATTTGAAAGATCATCAATTTTACAATTATTTAAAAGTCTAATTACCAAATTATCATCAAATAAAGGTTTTATTAGTTAGTAATTCAAAGAAATTATTATAATATTTAGATAGATTGGATTATATTTATATTTTAAAATTGTGGAATAATTAATAATGTTATGTACATGTGAAAGTATATTATTTATAAGATCATAAATAATAAAAAGGTTCAGAGAAAATATATGTTTATGATGGTGAACATTTATTTGTGAGTGTAGAATTATATGAATTTAATTCAAAATTGAAGAAATATATTTTATTATTTAATAAATATGATTT